AACTTGGCTCTGATACCAAATTGTTGGATCAAAGGAGAAGAGTTTGGCACTTAAAAGCAAACTTTCAGTTTTAACTCTTGCATTGAAAATCAATACAAGCACGCAATACAGGAACAAGTCTCTCATACTCAAGAGCTCTATACCTCACCGACACTCACACTCTCTTACAACTCTTGTAAGTGGGCTCGACTGTCTCTCTCAACTCGTACACAGAACTACCTGACCATCCCCTTTTATTTATAAACTACAAGATTGGAGGAGAGAGTTCTCTAGATACTTCTCTATACCTCAGAGCAAGTTCTAGAGTAATCTAATTTTACCATGAGATTGAGGAGAGAACTAGAGAACTAGAATAGTAGTGAAGTTATTTATGCTAAGAGTGAGAAAGATGGACTAGAGGATTATAGATTGTCTAGAGGTCAGCGGTGACTTTTCAACGACTACATCCCATAAATATGAAAGTACTAATCTCTTTTAATTTCATTGTAGGCTTTGTGGCTTAATTGAAACCACGTGAAAATGATCTTTAAACCCACTCTTTGGTTAATGCATGATAAACATCCGAAGAATTTAAATGTATGAGAATTTCTACAAAAAGAAATCAAATAAAGGGCCCCTTCATGTAAAACCATGGTACATATTCTAACAATACATTTTAAAATTGGCGATTATATTGAAATAATATTACAAGTACGATATTTAGTTATTCACAGCGATATTTAAGGGTAATATTAAAACTGTATAAAGATTATTGCACTGCTTTAAAATTGATAGTAAAATAGTAGCATGTTATCATGAATTGTTTTTCTAGAGGGTACTCCATAGGATTCCTAGGCCCGCACTCCCTTCTGTTGACATCTGGCCGTGTTTATTATCTAGTTTCCCTGAGACATTAAGTCTCTCATCCTCTAAATAATTAGCTGCTCCAAAACTCCAGAACAACAATAAAGTCCCAATTGCTTAGTTGGCTAATTGAGCATCTTGGCTTAGTCTAATACAAAAGGATTAGGTGCTAGATGTGTGTCTAGTCTAACAGAAAAAAGGACAAAGTTTTTTAATATGTATTCATGCTCTTTGTTGGTGATTCCAATCAAATGGAAGCACATGCTTCATCTCTGTTTATATGGGGACCAGTATTGTTCTTAGCTTCAAATTTGTTATTTTTCAAAGTAATGGCCTCATCTTCAAGCTGGGTGCCTTCTCTATCTGTTTCCCAAACAACAAGCTCGTGTGATCCACAAAATTACACGAGCTAATTAATGTAAGGAGAAATTTAGCTTAGAATTCTTCTTTGACTTGCATTGTGAACAACATCCTTTTGACCAAGTTGATTTGTTCAATATTATTCACACGGATTTGTATCTTCTAACCATTTAAATAATTTTGTCAGTGTCTTTTAAAAATTTTGCGTTGTGAAGAGATTTTAAGCAAATGTTTCAAACGCTGTGAACAACATATAACGAGCATGTGGAACACTTCACTCAAAAAGGCTTAGTTACAGGAAACCTGTGTACTGTCCCAAATTGCGGACGTGTACTTCTACTGTTGCAAAATAGACCCCATTGATTCTCAACAACGTTAGTTTCCCATTTATATTAGTTATCTATAGTGATCATTATGCTAGTTTATAGCAAATAAATCAATTCACAAAGCTCGTTTGTTCCGATTAATGAAGTCGATCCGAACTTAAACATGAAACTAAAGGAGTTGAAAAATCCAGGTATTCTAATCTGCGACCATAGAAGCACATGAGGTCTATTTGTAGCTTGGCGATAGTAGAGGGGTTCATCCGCAATCAACACAATAAGTTAGTACCATGGAACCCAATTCTGCTAACCCTACTTCCAATATATGCAACACATTGTTATTACCATGGGACATAATTCCTTGCTAGATAATACACTTTAACCTCAGCATACAATATTTGGAATCTTGCATTCTTTCATGAAAGCCAAACATGCCTTCAAGTTTTTCATAATTACTTTCTGTATTCTGCTCAAATTACCAGCTAAGAGCATCTTCTCTCAAAGTCCTTCCACTTTCAAATCTAGCAGATTTTAAGACTAATATTTTTACAACACCGTGTTATATTTAACAATTATCATTAAGCACGGCCCTACCAAAACATCTTAGCTGTTTTTTAAGCAGTTTTTGATATTTAATGATCAAACTATTTTCAGCAGTTTATATAAATTACTTCAATAAGATGCTTTTATAAGCAATTATTATAAGTTCTAAAAATACCAAACTGACACTAACTACATCAAACTAAATGCACCCTTTAACTGTGATATAGCGTAGCACAGATAAGTGCAAATCCTAATCATATAAAGCTTTGATGAGAAACAATTAATGGGAAAAAGAGACACAGTTGCAGTTGTGGGTCATGCATAAAAGAGCAAGTAAATATTCCTACTCTCAAATCTTTCCATCTTTATGTTGGTTAGGCAAACATCTATGTCAACATTAATCCCTCCTTCCTCCTCCTATATTTTTTTTTCCTGCAATTAATCAGCACATGGCCGGAGAGAAATCAGACAGCGACATTGTCGATTACCATGTTTACAGGCCACTGCAACTAGCAACTCTATTTTCTTTTCTAGACTCACCCCAAAACTCTAGAACTCGATCATGAAGTAAGACTATCATTTAATCAAGGGTTTAATCGTAGACAGGGCCCTTGTATTATTGCTCAGTTGAGGATAGACCCCCTACATTCTTGCAAATGGACCTCCTAAGTGAAATGTTTCGACTCTTTTATACTGAAAGAAAGAGAAATTTGTTTTCTGACAAATGGACCTCTTGAGGGTAAAAAAGTCAATAATTTCACGCAGGGGGTCTATCTGCAATAGTATTACATGGGTTCTGTCAGCAATGGGGAGATGTTACAGGGGGTCTATTCGCAATTAACCCTTTAGTCAATTGGCGAGAAAAGAAAAGAGAAGAAACTACTGATTAATATAACTAAATTGCTATTTGACTCGGTGGAAGTGTGAATTCAAAATTCTTGTCTATGTACAACGAGAGCCTAAAATCTCTAATACAGTTTCATCTAAAATCTCTTCAAAGATGAATGCTTCTACTCCAATCCCTATCTCTGCTGCATCAGCCCTGTACTGGCTCCACTCACTCCTCAGCTCTGAAATGTCTGAACCTAACAACTTCCCCAAGCTACTCATGTCTCCTTGTAGCTTCTCCCATGAGAGAACCTTCTCACGGATGGCCTTTGCTCTAACCTCCGTGCTGAAGCACCCAAGTCCGTAATCGCGAATCCTCTCCTCTGCTTCCCTCACACAATCCAATATGAGCTGCTGCTCATGAACCTGTCCCTTGTTTGATTTGGTGTGATGTGGGAAGGCAGAGATCTCAGGCATTTCTCTTGGGGAATCGAAACTCGAGCTTGTTGATTGGTTCTCTTCCTTGAATCCTAATGCAAAATGCGAGATTAGAGAGAGGTTACTATGATGAAGGAATCTGTGTTACTGTAAGGTTGAATTATTAAGGTTAATTGCAGATAGACACCTTGTGATACCGCCAAATTAAATTTACTACCCCTGTAGTTCCATTGTTGCAGGTAGAACCTTCATCACTGAGTGAAAATCTGTTGTTGCGTATAGACCCCCTGATCAGGGTGAAAAAAATTCACTCAGGGACAGGGGGTCTATCTGTAACAATAGGGGAGCAGTGAGTTCAATTTGGCGATAGTCGAGGGGGGCTATCCACAATAACCCAAATTATTATTAGCTGACAAGTGAGAGAACTTACTGTGATTAGGGTATTGCAGCACTGATACAGGGCTGAGCTGCTTGGAGGAGTCCTCCATCTCCACGCATCTGCATTGATGATCCCCACCCAATTCTCTCGGACTGATGCCAGAAAAGCAACTGAAAACACTCATTCTTCCACTCTCTATCGATTTACTATCACAATTCAGAGCTTTAATTGATTGCTTCCCTTGAAGAAGCTTGGTCAATATAGACCTCAAAAAGCTACCAGCAGCACCTCTTCTTCCTTTATTAGTAAAACCCTGACTGCTGATTCTCTCCAGCCTCTTACTTGAACACCCATTCTCCATTAAGTAAACATTTAACAAGAAAGGTTCTTGCTTCTCTTCAAGCAACTCGAACAGCTGCCTTCCAGAGGCCATTGTGGTTTACAAAAACTGAAGAGATTTAGGCACAAGACAATTTCCGGAGGTTGAATATAGGACCAGAGAAGGGGAGATGCATTATAGGTCCATAGTTGCTCTAAATAAATAGAGAAGTGGGAGGTGGAGGAATTTAATATGGTAGACAAGAGGCAGTTAAAATGCAATGGGAGGTCCTATTTATCTTATGGTAAAAGCTTGAAATGCTTCTCCTGCTATTTCATCTGCTTGTACTAGCAGGGTATGGGCCAAATTCACATGAGAAGCGATGGAAATTAACCTGTAACCATATCTGGAGACCTGGAAACAAAACTACCATACCATTCTCATGGATGCATTGTACCCTCCCCATAAAAAGAACACTTTGTCTTGCTCTAGATTTCAGTACAAAAGCTGATAAGGATTGTTCCCTCATTAGGGCCACAAGGATCTTTTTGCTCAGCAACAAAGGGACCCACAACTTTTGTCAGCTAGCTAAGTCACCCATGTGTGTATGAGAACAGAGAGAAGAGGCAAATTGTACATCAGTGGACTAATCTATTTGTTCAGGTTTGGAGATTTTGCAGTGATTTTGATCCCCCTTCCTCTTGTTTCAGAATCCAAATCCAATGCATGTGTTCATAGGATCAGGAGTCTACTTGTGCTCCTTTAACAATGGACAGCCTACCTCTCTCCTCTTATATTCTAATCCACCTCCCTCTTTCTCAGAAGACAGCAAGACATTGAACAAATATGGTCTTCCATATTAATGCATTTGCGGACTGAAAAAATGTTTTTGAGTTATTGACTCACTCAATACATGTGAATCACCACATCTCAAAGTGCTTTGTCTTCTAGTGGTACCAATCCAACGGTAGATATTTGAAATATAGAGAATGACCTCAATGATTAAGTCAATAAGAAGAACTTAACCGGTGTATCGACAATTTAGGACCAAAAAGCTATGCAATTTGTTGGGAATTTAACGCCTAAATCCCCTAATGCAACAGAAACGCAGAATAGAGAACAGTACACCAAGTTTTAACGAGGTTCGGCAACTGCCTACGTCCTCGGGAGCCACATAAATAATTTCTTATTAATCAAACAAGAAATTACAATTTAGGAGCAGATCTCAAAACTGAGATTTCTCAAATAAACACTGTAGCTACAGTGTTAATAATTAAAGGGTATGAACCCTTTCAATTCTCACTTGAGAATAAAGAATAACCCCACAATAAAAAAACCCCTTTTTGGTTCTCTCTCTCTCTCTCTTCTTAAATCCCCTCAACCACTGTTGAATGCTGGGATTTAATCAAAATCGCAGCTGCGATTTGGGGGGTTTTCCGCCGCCGCCAGGGAAGGAAAAATCGGAGAAGGGGGAAGACTCAGCAACCACAACCCTAGGCTGGAGGGGGGGTTTTATAGGGAGAGTGGATGGGCTGGCGACAGCCTATCGCCAGCGACCGCTTCGACACCAACTTCGAGCCGAACGCAGAGGTAGAACAAACGCCGAGGTCGAACGAACGCAGAGCTGAAAGGGGGAGGCGAACGCAGAGCTCGGGGGAGGCGAACGCAGAGTTCAGGGGGAGGCTCGAACGCAGAGCTGTGCTGCCGAAGATCGCCTGGACCTCGCCGCCTGTGGCTTCGCCTGCGTCGCCATCGAGCTCGTCGGAGCTCCTCGCCGGCGCTCCTCATCGGAAATGAGGTTTGATCTACACCCTCATCCTAACAATCTCCCACTTGGACTTCGTTCTAGAATGAAATGCTGAATTCTTCGCCAAGTGTATCGCACTCTGGCTATCACTGTGCAAAACATTCTTCTCCTGTTTGAATCCCAGCTCTGTCAACAAACCCTGAAGCCATATCATCTCTTTACTGGCTTCAGTCACTACAATATACTCAGCTTCTGTAGTGGATAGGGTAACGATCTTCTGTACCTGTGACATCCAACTAACAGCTGTAGTTCCGACGGTGAATACATAGCCGGTGGTGCTTTTTCGGTGATCAACTTCACCGCCGAAGTCTGCATCTACGTACCCTTGCACTTCCACCTCTCCCTTACCAAAGTGCAAACACTTCTATGTGGTGCCTCGTAGATATCTCAGAATCCACTTGACCGCTTCCTAATGAGCTTTTTCTGGATTCGACATAAACCGGCTGACCACTCCCACTGCATGGCCAATGTCTGGTCTCGTACAGACCATTGCGTACATCAAACTTCCGATAGCTGAGGCGTAAGGAACCTGAGCCATACTCTCTTTCTCTTCTTCTGACTGAGGAGACTGATCCTTCGATAGACGAAAATGGCTGGCCAAGGGTGTGCTCACAGACTTGGCGTTGCCCATGTTAAATCTCTGCAAAATACGGTTGATGTACTCCGTCTGAGATAACTGCAAGAGACCTCTCTTCTTATCTCTCGTGATTTGCATTCCAAGGATCTTCTTCGCTGGACCCAAGTCCTTCATGTCAAACTCTTTTGACAGCTGCTGCTTCAAGCTCTTGATATCCTCCATTCTGCTCCTACAACCAACATATCATCAACATACAACAGTAGGATGATATAGCTGGACTGATAATTTTTGAAGTAGCAACAGTGGTCGGCGTTGCACTTCTGGAAACCTTCCTTATGCATGAAGCCGTCAAACTTCTTGTACCACTGTCTTGGGGCTTGTTTCAGGCCATACAAGCTCTTCTTGAGTCTGCACACCAGGTTTTTCTTCTTTTCTTCTGCGAAACCTTCTGGCTGGTGCATGTATATCTCCTCTTCTAGATCTCCGTGAAGAAACGTCATCTTCAGGTCTAACTGTTCGAGATGAAGATCTTCAATTGCTACAATACTCATCACGGTCCTGATAGTATTTAGCTTCACCACTGGAGCAAAAATATCGGTGTAGTCAATTCCTTTCTTCTGCTGGAAACCTTTGACAACTAGCCGGGCTTTATATCTTCTGGAACCATCATGCTCCTCTTTCACCCGGTACACCCATTTGTTGTGGAGTGCCTTCTTACCCGTGGGCAACTCAGCTAGTTCCCACGTCTGGTTTGATATGAGAGACTTCATCTCATCTTTCATGGCAAGCTCCCACTTGCTCGCATCTCCACACTGACAAGCTTCATCAAAGCTTTCAGGCTCCCCACCATCTGTCAACAACAGATAGTTCATGTATCTCCTGTTGGGTACAGGAGGACGAGAAGATCTTCTTAATATCGGAGCTGGTGCGTCGGGCTCCTGCGCACCATCTTGTCCAACAGGCTCTTCTGGCTGAGGACCCTCTGCATTGGGTTCTTCCGAGAGGTTACTCGGGACATCATCTGCATCTACAAATATTAACTCGCTCTCTGAGTCATCTGTCTTGTGCATGTCCTTGTACATCACCTTCTCGTTGAATATCACATCTCTACTGCGGATCACTTTCTTATTTTCGTTGTCCCAAATGCGGTAGCCGAACTCATCTTCACCATAGCCGATGAAAGTGCAGTTCTTTGACTTGGGATCAAGTTTATTCCTGCCTTGATCACTAATATGCACGTAAGCTAAACAACCGAAAACTTTAAGATGTGAGAGTTTTACCTCCTTTCCGCACCATACCTCCTCTGGTATTCTGTGCTCCAATGGAACCGATGGACCTCGGTTGATCAAGTAAGCTGTTGTGTTGACTGCTTCTGCCCAGAACTGCTTCGGTAGGCCTGACTGTACACGAATGCTTTTGGCTCTCTCTGTCAACGTTCGGTTCATCCGCTCAGCTACACCATTTTGCTGAGGCATGCCGGGCACGGTTCTCTCCATTCTGATCCCGTGCTCATAGCAGAACTTCTTGAATCCGGTATCTTCATACTCACCGCCATTGTCGGTCCTGAGCTTCTTTATTCTCAGACCGGTCTCATTCTCGACCATAGCTTTCCATCTCCTGAAAGCCTCAAATACTTCTGACTTATGCTTCAGAAAGTAGACCCACACTTTCCGAGAGTGATCATCGATAAAAGTCACGAAGTAGTGTTTTCCACCAATGGACGCGGTGGTTATTGGTCCCCAAACATCTGAGTGAACGAGCTCTAGCTTCTCTTTCCTTGGGGTTCTGCCACTTGTCTGAAAGCTGACTCTCTTCTGCTTTCCAAGTATGCATTCTTCACACATATCCATCTCCACTGACTGCAGTCCTGTGAGTTTTCCCTTTGTGTGCATGATCTTCATCCCCTTTTCACTCATATGATTGAGTCTCTGGTGCCACAGCTTTGAAGTCTCATTGCCTGCTGTAACTGAGATCGAACAACGTGCACCTGCTGTCATATATAGGGTACCAGTCTTCCTGCCTCGGGCAATCATCATTGCGCCCTTTGAGATCTTCTAATCATCTCCGTGGAAGGTCATGGTATATCCTTCGCCAGCCAACTGGCCTACAGATATTAAATTCTTTCTCAGGTCGGGAATATGCCTGACATCCTTTAGCTCCCATACTGACCCGTTCAACTTAATTTTCACCACGCCTTTACCCACAATAGCACATGGTTGATCATCACCAAGATATACGTATCCAAGATTTCCGGGGGTATACTTCTCGAAGAATTCTTTCTGAGAGGTAGCATGGAACGACGCTCCTGAATCTAACACCCAAGATTCCTCCTTGCTCTCCAAAGAGCATATCAATGCGTCGTCTCCTCCTGAAGTGGAAGTGACATTCACCTCTGCCTTCGCCTCCTTCTCCTTCTGTGCACTCTTGCACTGATTCTTGTAATGCCCGGTCTTTCCACAATTCCAACACTCGATAGCCTTCGAGCTGTTGCTTGGATTCCTTGATTTGGACCTCCTGTCCTTTGATCTACCTCTGAAGTTTGATTTTCCTCGTCCGTTTCCTCTGGTTGAATTTCTACCTCTTGACTCTGTATGCAATACTGAAGAGGTTGTAGCTTCACCAGTCTCTCGCCGTCGGATCTCCTCACTGAGAACCAAATCACGAACGTCGTCGAACTTCAACTTTTTCTTTCCCGGCGAGCTACTCACAGCTGTGACTGTAGCGTTCCAACTCTCTGGTAGGGAAGACAACAATATCAACGCCCGAACTTCTTCATCAAACTCAATCTCAACTGAACTCAATTGGGTTGTAATCGTATTAAGTTCATTGAGGTGTTGTGCTACTGACGCGCCTTCTGCCATTTGCAGATTGAATAACCGCCGCATCAAATGAACTTTGTTCGCGGTTGATGGCTTCTCATACATGTTTGAGAGTGCTGCCATAAGACCTGCCGTGGTCTTCTCCTTCGCTATGTTGAACGCAACATTGCGAGTCAACGTTAATCTGATAACTCCGAGGGCTTGTCTATCTAGAAGGTTCCACTCTTCTTCCTTCATAGAATCTGGCTTCTTCCCCGATAGTGGTTGATACAGATTTTTCTGATACAGATAATCCTCTATCTGCATTTTCTAGAATTCAAAATCTGTTCCATCAAATTTCTCAAGTCTCATTTTTGCCTCATCTGTGGCCATGGCTCCCACTTGAATCTGACTTGTTCTAGATCGTTTCACGCTCTGATACCAGTTGTTGGGAATCTAACGCCGAAATCCCTAATGCAACAGAAACACAGAATAGAAAAAGCAAGTTTTAACGAGGTTCGACAACTGCCTACGTCATCGGGAGCCACACAGATAATTTCTTATTAATCAAACAAGAAATTACAATTTAGGAGCAGATCTCAAAACTGAGATTTCTCAAATAAGCACTGTAGCTACAGTGTTAATAATTAAAGGGTATGAACCCTTTCAATTCTCACTTGAGAATAAAGAATAACCCCACAATAAAAAACCCCTTTTTGGTTCTCTCTCTCTCTCTTCTTAAATCCCCTCAACCACTGTTGAATGCTGGGATTTAATCAAAATCGCAGCTGCGATTTGGGGGGTTTTCCGCCGCCGCCAGGGAAGAAAAAATCGGAGAAGGGGGAAGACTCAGCAACCACAAACCCTACGCTGGAGGGGGGGTTTTATAGGGAGAGTGGATGGGCTGGCGACAGCCTGTCGCCAGCGACCGCTTCGACGCCAACTTCGAGCCGAACGCAGAGGTCGAACAAACGCCGAGGTCGAACGAACGCAGAGCTGAAAGGGGGAGGCGAACGCAGAGCTCGCGGGAGGCGAACGCAGAGTTCAGGGGGAGGCTCGAACGCAGAGCTGTGCTGCCGAAGATCGCCTGGACCTCGCCGCCTGTGGCTTCGCCTGCGACTGCCGGAGCTCGCCTGCGTCATTCTGGAGCTCGTCGGAGCTCCTCCGCCGTCGGAGGTGAGTTTGGTCTACACCCAAACTAACACAATTACCTGTCAATACCTGAATGGATCAGGTGTATAATTCGATTATTTCTACTGTAAAAAGCAATGCAGCCAATTGACTATGCCCAGCATAAACAACAACTAGTAAGTATATCAGTGTATAAGGTGAAGAATAAGGGACAAACTAAAGAGAACTAACATAATAATTGATATAAACTAAAGCAACATACAGAGAGAATAATTATGTTCCGCATATCAATCTATAAAGTATGTGATGCAATCAACTAGAACTTAGTTTTGATATAAATATAACTTTCAGTAGACATCAATGTAATGTCTAGTACATTCAACAAGTGGTGGAACAGTGCTCAGTGCAAGGGAATAAACTAACCTCTTATGAATGAATACACTGATTGATTTGGATCAACAATCATAGAGTTCAGGTACCGGCATTGAAGATTTAAGATTTTCCATCATAGCCTTAGACTTGGAATACAGGGAAGTGATTAAGCCCTCATGTTGTGCAAATGCCAAACTGAATAATCTGATCTCTTCTCTAAGATCCTTCATCTTCAGTTTTTTGACTTTCAAGTCCTTCAGCAGGCTTTCCTTCTCAACTCTAGTTCCACATTTTGTTAGGATACTGAGAGAGCTTCATTAAGAGATGCTTCCTCCTCTCTCAGGAGGTTGCATTCACTTTCCAGGGCAGTATATTGTTGCTTGAACGTATTGAATTGTGATTTGTTCATGCTGAACTCAGATTGAAAACCACGAGATTTTTCCTTGGAAGCTCCTTCATGAAAGGCTAGTTCCTTCAGACAAAATATTAATTAGATTTGGAAAAGAGAAAAAAAATATACAGCTAACTACCACATCTCTTTGTAATGCTATGACAATATTTATTTCATCTAAAAGTTTTACCATTTCAAAAGTGACCACAACGTAATCAATACAAATCCATGAAATTTAAACCTGAAACTAACTGTGTAGTATGAGCAGAGATCTTATGATACAGTGATAATCTGAGAAATTTTCATAGCCTTTACACAAAGAATTACGACATTGTGGGTGTAGCAGAATATAGATTTATCTTCCTTTTAATGACTGAACAGATATCGACTATGTAGGTTGGTACCTGGTGTTAGGATACACCCCAATAATAACGCCTCTAACGGAGACGCAATACACAAAATAAAGGCACAAGATAAACCAGAGTACTCACAGATATACGTGGTTCACTCCTTCGGAGCTACTTCACGGTGCAACGATGACGCCAAATTCTTTTATATCCCAAAAGAATAGATCAAAGAGAACACCCTCTCTTGGTTCGATCGTCGATCGTTAACACCGAGCTGTGAGTGGGGACCTATCGGCAATTTTCGATGCCTACACTTCGGAGAGCGGGAAGGTAGGAGCTTCATTACCATCCTCTTCGAAGATCGCGGAGGTAGCATTGCAGAACTTGCCTTACCCTTTTTGATCATGGAGGTCGTCCACTGATCGTCTTCAATCAGATCGGGATGAACCCAGAGGATTTCGCCGTTTGGGGCTGTGTGTGGCACTCTTCTATGAGAGGAGTTGTTTCTGGGATGAGATTTCCTTAAGAGTTTAGGGCCCTATTTATAGTGTTTTGAAAATACTACGTACAAATAAAATATTATTAGTAGGACCTGCCACTAATAATAAATAATTGTGGGACCTGTCACCTTTTCCCATTTTTTTCAAAAATCGGCACCGAATTCTCAAATGTCAACAAAGGCGGCAGGGGTTGGCTGGCTGGGTCAAATAAGGCTGCGATTGACAATCTCCCACTTGAAGATTTGATTGAATATCAATCATATCTTCACACCACTCTTGGTTGCATCATCTGGATGTCTTGTATCTTTGGCGTCTTGCACGGTCCTTAACATTCTCAACGGAGACCATACGAGGCTACACACAGCCTCACCTTCTCGAGCGGAACTGGTTTGGTCAACATATCGGCTGGATTGTACCTCGTATCAATCTTCACAAGCTTGAGCTCGTTCCTGCTTTGCCATCTCCGTATGGCATGATCCTTTACGTCAACATGCTTGGTCCGAGCATGACATGCGTCGTTCTCTAACAAGTGAATGGCACTCTTACTGTCGCAGTGGATGAAGTATTTCTCAAAGCTTACTCCAAGCTCGAGAAGAAAAACCTTCAACCATAGCAACTCCTTTGCTGCCTCTGCTGCAGACACGTACTCGGCTTTGGTTGTCGACAAAGCAAAAGTATCCTGTAACTTGGATCTCCAACTTATCGCTCCACCACTCAAGATGAAGATGTAGCCGCTTGTACTCCTTCTCGAATCCATATCCCCGGCATAGTCTGCATCACAAAAGCCCTCTAGCTGTAAATCTATCCCGCCATACTCAAGACAACGGTCGGGCGAGCTTCTCAAGTAGCGTAGAAGCCACTTGACCGCACCCCAGTGTTGTTTCCCTGGATTGCTCATGAAGCGGTTCACAACTCCCACTCCTTGTGCAATATCTGGCCTCGTACACACCATCGCATACATCAAACACCCGACAACAGATGCGTATGGTATGTTGGCCATGAACTCATGCTCCTAAGCAGTCTCTGGTGCTTGCATCTTTGATAGCTTGAAATGACTCGCAAATGGCGAGCCCACTGGTTTAGCTTTCTCTATGCCAAAATTTTTAAGAATCTTCTTAATGTAGGCCTTCTGAGACAACCTCAGCCTCCGTGTTGATCTGTCTTTGATGATCCTCATTCCTAGAATCTGGTTTGCTAGACCCAGATCCTTCATCTCGAAGCACTCGGAGAGACGTCACTTGAGTTCCTCAATGCGGGCCAAGTCGGGACCTGCAATTAACATGTCATTAATATAAATCAAGAGTATCACATAGGATTCGTCGTATCTCTTGATGAAACAGTAATGGTCTGTGTCGCATTTGAGAAAACCGTTCTCCTTCATAAAGTTCTCGAACTTCATGTACCACTGTCGCGGAGCTTTCTTCAGGCCATACAAGCTCTTGAGCAGGTGACACACGAGGCCCTCCTTGCCTCGTTCCTCGAAGCCCACTGGTTGATGCATATAGATCTCCTCCTCTAAATCTCCATGAAGGAATGTCGTCTTCACATCCATCTGCTCCAGATGGAGATCTCGAACTGCCACAATGCTTAGCACTGTTCGGATCGTGGTCAACTTGATGACGGGAGCAAAAACGTCAGAATAGTCTATCACTGTTTTCTGCTCATAGCCCTTCACTACAAAACTCGCCTTGTAGCGTTTCCATCCATCGGCTTCATCCTTGACCCGATAAATCCACCGATTATGAAGAGCCTTTCGTCCTCTTAGAAGTTTTACGAGCTCCCAAGTCCCATTCTTCATCAAGGACTTTATTTCTTCCTCTATGGCAGACTCCCACTCGTCACGAGCTTTGCCGATCTGCTATACCTCCTCATAGCTCTCTGGCTCACCACTGTCAGTCAAGAGAAGATAATTCATGATGGAAAGGTACCTCTCTGGCACCCTTACATTTCTTGGAGCTTTGCGTATTACGATTGGCAACTCTGCTGGATCCTGCTGCTGTGCATTCCGCACGTTCTCTTGGTCTCCGTCTTCTATGCTGACTGGTATCTCACCGCCGTCCTCACTGTCAGCAATATCTGGAAAAAGAGGGGGAGATAGCTGACTCCTACTCACCTCTTTGGTCTTGTACACTTCATTCTCATGGAACACGACATCACGACTACACACCACCTTACGTGCATCGTGATCCCAGAAACGATACTCATACTCATCTTTGCCATAGCCAATGAAAGAGAGGTTCTTTGACTTTGGATCAAGTTTTGACCGGTTTGTAGGATTGGTCATGACATAGGCGTCACAACCAAATACTCGCAAATGTTCTAGCTTCAGCTTCTTTCCAGTCCAAGCCTCTTCAAGTATCCCATAATTGAGAGCCCCGGATGGCCCGTGGTTGATCAAGTATGCAGCAGTATTGATAGCTTCGGCCCAAAACCTCTTGGGCAATCCGAAATGGATCCTCATGCTTCTGGCACGCTCCAAGATAGTACGATTCATGCGCTCCGCCACTCCGTTGTGCTGAGGTGTGCCTGGGACAGTCTTCAGTCTCCGAATCCCACAGGACGAGCAGAAGTTCTCAAACTCCTGGCTACAATACTCGCCTCCATTATCGGATTTTAGGCACTTCAGCTTATTACCTGTTTCATTCTCCACACAGGCAAGCCACTTCTTGAAGATGATGAAAATATCTGACTTGTGCTTCAAAAAGAACACCCATAGTTTTCTAGTAGCATCATCAATAAAAATGACAAAATAAAGAGAGTTGCCAATAGATGAGACTTGCGCAGGTCCCCACACGTCGGTGTGCACCAACTCCAATTTCTGTAGTTTTGGAGTCGGTCTGGTCTTGTTGAAGCTCACCTTTTTTTGTTTGTCTAGGATGCAGTTCTCACAGAAAGTCAGATCGATCTTGTTCAGACCCGGAAGCATCTCTCCTGCGGCCATAATCTGCATCCCCTTCTCGCTCATGTGGCCAAGTCGTCGATGCTAAGTCATGCAGTCGACAGATGATGATGATGCTTGTCCTGCGGCAAGCAAGTGGTCAATCTTCCCGTTGGCGATGTAGAGAGACCCCTCGTGTTTGTCGTGTGTCACCACCAGGGCATCCTTGGATACCTTCCAGCTTCTCTGCTCGAAGGATACTCTGTAACCGGAATCAGTCAGTTGCCCGACTGATATAAGATTTCGCCTGAGATCCGGTACATGTCGAACATCATTCAGCGTCAAGGTGGTCCCGCCCTCCATATTGAGGGTATAATTTCCCTTCCCGAAAACCTTGTAAGGTTGATCGTCGCCAAGATAGACTGTCCCTAAGTCCTTCTTCACGAACGATGAAAGCAACTTTTGTTGTGAGGTTGCATGGAAAGATGTGTCAGAGTCGACAACCCACGCATTGCTTTTTCCTTCTAGGGATAGGAGAAGTGCATCTGAATCCGTCTCGTGCATGAGATTAGCTGCACCGTCAGCCCAATCATCCCCTGCTGATGCTGGAGCAGTAACTCTGCAGTCCCATGCAAAGTGGTCCTTCTTTCCCCATCTGAAGCACTTCCCTTCACCGTAACCATTCGGGTTAGGCCCTTTAGACTTCCCTCTGGATTTTGATTGGCCTCGTCGTCCCCTACCCTTTTTCTGTGCACGCCCTCGTGCCTCGACATGCAGAGCACTCTCACTGCTAGAGGCCTCAGCTCCTGAGACTTTGCGACGAGATTCTTCATCCAGAATTGCCCCAACCACTGTGTCGAGCTTCATCTTATCATTGCCATTAGCGTTGCTCACCGTCATCACCATATTCTCCCATGAATCTGATAGACAAGAAAGTAGCAGAAGAGTTTGGATCTCGTTGTTAAACTTTAGATCTACTGCAGCAAGCTGTTGTACCACAGCTTGAAATTCGTTCAAGAAGTCCGCCACGCGAGCTCCTTGCTGCATCTTGAGATTGAATAGCTTCTTCATCAGGTACACCTTATTTGAAATAGACGGCTTCTCATACAGCGCCTCCAAGGCCTCCATCAACTCCTTGGTGGTGGTTGCATGCGAGACGTTGTAAGTCACATGCTAGTGAAGGTTGAGTCTGATGGTGGCAAGTGCTTTACGATCGAGCACCTTTCACTTATCGTCGTCCATCTTCTCAAGTTTCTCCGCCTCTCCTTGGAGGGGTAAGAAGAGATCCTTCTAGTACAAATAGTTTTCTATTTGCATCCTCCAATACCTGAAATTTTGGCCGCCGAACTTCTTAATTCGAAGCATGTTGTCTTCAACTGTAGATCTTCTGGCGAAAGATTACGTATTTCTCGTATTTGTGAATAGAATCGTATTCGTGAATATTACCGTACATGTGAATAGTACCGTACACGTGAATAGTATCAAATACCTTAAAAGAGTAAATATTAATCTAACTTATTTTCTGATGTGGAGGATCCATTTTTAGTGGCAGCCACAGAGCATACGATAAGCAGATATACGTACTCTAAGTCAACTCTGATACCAGTTTGTTGCAGCGGAGTGAATAATAACGCCTCTAACGGAGACGCAATACACAAAATAAAGGCACAAGATCAACCAGAGTACTCACAGATATATGTGGTTCACTCCTTCGGAGCTACTCCATGGTGCAACGACGACGCCAAATTCTTTTATATCCCAAAAGAATAGATCAAAGAGAACACCCTCTCTTGATCAGATACACTCCAAGAACTCTCACAATCTCTCTTTGTGTTTTCTCTCTTACTCTTCTATGAGAGGAGTTGTTTCTGGATGAGATTTCCTTAAGAGTTTAGAGCCATATTTATAGTGTTTTGAAAATACTACGCATAAATAAAATATTATTAGTAGGACCCGCCACTAATAATAAATAATTGTGGGACCCGTCACCTTTTCCCATTTTTCTCAAAAATCGGCACCGAATTCTCAAATGTCAACAAAGGCGGCAGGGGTTGGCTGGCTGGGTCAAATAAGGCTGCGACTGACACATGGTTCAGATTTGGTGCAGTTAACTAGCCGAATGGTATAGAAAAATGTACTTAAGGTTCAGAATAATCGATGCGTACTCTCTTCCAGCTTTTTTTCCCTCATTTATCTCTTGTTTCTACAATTTATTTGTTTGCTTGCTTATTTTTAGGAAAGTCCAGGAGACTTATTGTCATTGTTAGGACTAGCAGGAGCTTCTACCGAAGTCTATTTTAAATAGGAGAGTAAGAGACGAAAGATTTTTTTTCTCCTGAACGAAAGATTTTTTTTCTCCTGAAATAGGTAGTCCCCAGGACTTTCATATGACAATCGTCTCCAGTTATTTACCACCTGATCTAAACCTCAGAAGAAATAATGAATCAGTAATAAATTTTGAAACGCTGTTCTACTTTACAATGATACAAAATTGCAAATTATTGTCACTTATATTGTCTGAAGTAGTGTCATGTCAGACTAGCATACTGAAAATAACAACAGGCTGTCTCAAGGAACTTCTTAACACAATACACTCCAGTTCTTTATTACTTGAGCTAAAGCTCAGTAAAAATAGTGTAGTCATAAATTTTGAAATGATGTTTTATTTTGCTATGATACAAAGTTGCAAATTAATGTCACTTTGTTGTGTGAAGTAGTATCATGTCAGAATCAAATACTGGAAATAACAAGAGGTGTTTGTCTATTATCATTCAGTACCAACAGCTACAACTACACTTCAGTTTTGTAGAATTCTTTCTGATTCTTTGGCGTTATGGATGGAACTAATTGTGTCAACAACAAGGGTGGCTTTTCACATATTATACCTGTCATCCAATGCTTAAGAAGATATAATGTAATTTGAATAAACAATTGTATCAGTATGCATGTATTGTTTAAAGAAAGCATTGTCATAATTCCAACTTCTCAAAACAGACATCTGTTGTTATTTATCAAATAAAAAAAATAAGACTTTATGTTGGTAATTCAGAAAATGTGTACAAACGAAACTGTAGTAGTGGTAATTGTAACTCACAAGAGATGCATCTGCAGAAGCAGCACGGTCGTGTTTTATGTTTGGAGTCATCTGAAGCATATCAAGATTAGTTATGCATCCCGTGTTCAATTGTAACCATAGGTCTTCATCTGCTACACTGGCAAAATTATCAGGGATGGGACTCAAATCAAGCGCCTGTAAACAGGATCTTCATTCGACGACAAAATCATTTGGTAGAACTCTGAAGGTAGGAGTTCTGAGGGCATCTCCTTGTGTTAAGTTTATCATTACTGTGGGATAATTCTCCACAGATGCTCCCGAAATCAGCACTTTCCCACAGAGCATATGATTTTTTTTACAGGTTCAATAAAATAATGTTTAAAAAAATATGACGTCACCGAGTAATCAACAGAATCCGAAATGTGTCGATAGTGATCAAAACTTTGCATGGGCAGCTTGGGACCTCAAGCTCAAAACATGTGGAGTATGATGGGAGCTGAGATGACTTAAATTTTACATGCATCGTGCTATTAGTGACACAATATGATGGTTGTCGAACTATACTTTGTAACCATGTTTTCCACCAAGTTAACTAGTCAAAATCAAATATCTCTATACATTATTAAAATTATTAGTCCACATCATTTTATGAACACACCTTCTCTTTCTACCTCACTTTTCCACTCCTCTGCCCCCCATCCTCGCCTCCCCGAGATCCCCACTCCCCCCTCCTCCTCACACCTTCATCTCCTATCTACCTTTCAATAAGTCTACCTTTCAGAGAAGGAGCACATGAGCAGAGTGTCATATTCATCAGGCATTAATAGTCTCATGTACGCGATGATTTGCACGAGGCGGATAACGCTCATGCAGTGAGAGTTGTGAGTAGGTTTGTAAGCAATCTAGGGAAGCAGCATTGGGAGGCCGTGAAGTGGATATTACGATACTTGAGAGGGACTACGGATATACCACTTGTTTTGGGAGAAAGGAGTTGATACTGTAGGGATACATGGATGCTGATTTCACCAGTGATCATGATACGAGACGAAGTACCACGGGGTATGTTTATACCTTAGCGTCAACAACAGAGAGTTGGGTCTCACGATTGTAAAGATAGTAACATTGTCCACGACTGAGCAGAGTATGTCGCAGTGACTGAAGCCTGTAAGGAGATGATTTGGTTAACCAGTGCCTGAAAGAGTTGGGTTTGAAGCAGAAAAACGGAGTTCTTTATTGTGATAGTCAGAGTGCTATACACCTTGCTAAGAATCCAGTATATCATGTCAGAACGAATCACATCGACGTACATTACCACTTCATATGCTCGCTGATAAAGGATGAGAAGTTACAGTTGGAGAAGATTTTGGGGAGTCAAAATCCAACAGATATGTTGACAAAAACAGTGACAATCGAGAAACTAGAGTTGTGCGTAACTTCAGTTGGCCTTCACACGTAGAAGATGAAGGCGGTGCCACATTAGGAGGAGGTGAGATCATCTAGTTGAAGAAAGAATTTTTTTCGGGGAGAAAAAGATGCTTGCGAAGATGGCGGGAGTTCGGGAGAGCTCGCTGATGTTGGTTTGGTCTTCAAGTGGGAGATTATTGGTTTTGGATGTGTGAAGACCAAAACCTAAAAATAAATCAACAACAGGAAAAACCACTGTTCGGTCGACCGAAGAGAAGATCAGTCGACTGACGTAACCCTCTACAATTATGAAAAGTTTCTGCTCGGTCGATCGACACTTATCAGTCGACCGATAAGAACTCGTTAGTCGACCGATGAGAGTTATCAGTCGACCGATAACATGCACAAGCAGTGCACAAGAAGAAACTGTTCTCATCAGTCGACTAACACAGAGCATCAGTCAACTGATGTTGAGTTTTCCAGCTTTCCAGATTCGGGTTGGAAACTGTTTTTTGTGCTGGGATTATATATAAACCTTAAACGTTTTTTGGGTTTGAAGTACATAAACAAGAGTGTTTTAAGAGGGTTTCTGAACACTTTGAGATCAGAGATCTTAGAGAAAGAGTGGCCATTTGCAGGAATTGTAATCTTCATCAATATTCAAGGAATTTTCTGGTGTGTCTCCCGAGGACGTAGGCACGTTTACCGAACCTCTTTAAATCTGGTGTTCTCTCTTTATTTATTCTTTTCTGTAAGTTTTTGTATTTATTTTGGTTTCTTGCTTGCTATACTTTTGACACAAGATCCGGAAGGGCACAGGTTGTCGTTTGTTGCAACCCTAACAAAAGCTTCAATTAATCACATTACAATTTAAAGACAACATTGTCAACCTCATTCACTTGAGCATAACTTGTAACATGTTTAGCTCCGCTTACAAACTGGAGGGTGCCTCTGGTTTCCTTTATGTGAACCTAACAACACTCATAATGTTAGCAAGAACTCAATTACAATGAAGAAATAAATTTTAGATAAACGAGTTGAGAAAAGAAAACCTCCTCAGGTGCTAGTTTGCAGGTTATTGAGGTCTTAGCATTGTCAACCAAAGCTGGTTGAAGTATGTGTGTTAGCTTACTATCATGATATGGAATGTGGGCCCTGAAACAACGTTTTCACATTTTATATAGAAAATTGTCACACACAATTAACTTAGTATTGGAATCCGACAACAGAGGATTATTTGACCACAAAGTTTAAAGGAGCCCTTCCGACTAGGTATGAGTGTATTAAAACAACTATAGTGATAAGATATTGTTTTGGGTATAAATTGTGCAATATGGAATTACTTAATATTAAAATCATGAGCTTCTTGTCAGCATTAGAGAGAGAGAGTGTGTTCGCGTGCGTACATGGGAAAAATGAAAGAAAAAATGGGTACGAACTAGCAAATCGTTTTGTCAAATAAGCTACCAAGAAATTAGTTAGTGGCTGAAATACATTCTGCTCTGGCCTCATTTTACTAAATGCCCTACCAACTGATAACTAGTATCTCCAGAATGAAATTCCTCTACTGAATAGATGAGAAGGAATCTCCTATTATGAAAGATAATTGATGAAATGTTCTATTTATTTTTGTTTCGAGTATATTGGTGGAATATTTCATTAAGTAAAACAATAAAAGAATGTGGAAACAAACTAACTACATGTTACAATATTACCTTTGCTTCCCATTTTCACTCAGCTTATTAATCACACTCCCATGAATCATTAAGCTTTTCTTAATATACTTCCCTTCCTTCAAACGTACTCCACCAACCCCAATCTTGGCTATTCTTTCCGACCCGACTAAATCTACCAAATTCTACATAGGAGATGTAAACAGAACTTACAAAAATGTGTTAGGGATTCAAACAATCAAATCGAACCCTTGCCCTTTCGGATCATGTGTTTGAGTAGGAAAGTAGGAAAAATCACAGCAAATAAAAAATAAATTCTTATAGGAAAGTAAACAAGAAAGAACACACCAGATTTAACGAAGTTCGGCAATCGTGCCTACGTCCTCGGGAGTCACACCACACAATTCTTTGATTAATATTGAAGAATATTACAATACCCACAAATAGGATCTAATCCCTCTGATATCTCTCTGAAGAATTCTCTCAAAAACTCTCTTTTTCTGATGTCTAATCTCTTCTAAGGCGTTCCATATAATAGAAAACCTAAAATCAAAACAAACTAGGAATTCTAAAACCAAAAAACAAAACGGATTACAAATCCTAATAACATGTTACCAAAACAGATTAAGAATCTTGTTACCAAAACAAATTAAGAATCATGTTACTAAAATAAATTAGGAAATCTGCTATCCAATAATTTTTTTGATTCCAGTTTTGAGTCTACATCTCTTAGACTAACAATCTCCCACTTGGAGACCAAAGCACAATCAACGAGCTCACCCGAACTCTCCCTTCTTTGTAAACATCCTCCTACACGAAAAAAAATCTATTCTTTAATTATCATCAACCCGACGATCCTTCTGGTGTGGCTCCGTCTTCATCTCCTACACGTGAAGGCCACCAATTTGTCAATGGTCATGGGGGAAAATATCTCTGTATAGTTCACTCCTTCCTGCTGTTGGAACCCCTTCACGATTAATCTGACCTTGTATCTCTTACTTCCATTACTCTCCTTCTTGACCCGATAGACCCATTTGTTATGTAAGGTTTTCTTCTGTGCAGGTAGTTAGACTAATTCTCATGTCTCATTAGTGTGTAAAGAATCCATCTCCTCTTGTATCGCATGCTCCCATTGCTGAGATTCACTCACTTGCATAGCCTCCTCATAGCACTTTGGTTCTTCACTATCTGTCAAAAGTAAATAATTAAGTGATGAGAGAAATCTGAGATACGGTTTGGGTACCGTAGATGACCTCATAAGCTCCACGCCCTGGGTAGTCGTGTCTGCACCTGAAGCCTCCTCCGTTCTTCGATCATAATTGACTTTGTCGCCCCCATCTGGAAGTTTCTCCAAATCTATGTACTCAGGTCCACCTGTATCCGTAGTGCTGCTCTTACTGCTTTGTCTATCATTAGCATTGTTCATGTTCTTGTACATCACCTCCTTATTGAATATCACATCCTTGCTTCTGATGATCTTCCTGTTCTTCTCATCCCAAAGACGATATCCAAACTCATCAATAATGTATCTAATGAATGTGCACTTCTATGACTTAGCCTCAAGCTTGTCCCTAACATGGTCACTGATATGAACATATGCTACACAACCGATTACTCGTAAATGTGAGAGATTGATCTTCTTGTCACTCCAAACCTCCTCCGAAATCCCGTAATCTAATAGAACTGATGGTCCATGATTAATCAAGTAAGCTATCGTATGCACCGCATTCTCTCAAAATGTCTTAGGTAAACCTGCATATAATCGCATACTCCTGACACGCTTCGTCAATGTCCTGTTTATCCTCTCTACAACGTCGTTTTGCTGCGACGTCCTTGGAGTAGTCATCTCCAAACGAATCCTATTTAGAGTACAGAACCTCTTGAACTCCTCCAGCTCGTATTCTCTACCATTATCTGATCTCAAACATTTTACCTTTAGATCTGTCTCGTTCTTTACCATGGTTTTTCATTTCTTAAAGATCCCAAACACCTCTGACTTATGCTTCATGAAGTATACTCACAACTTCCTCAAGTGATCATCGATGAAGGTGACATAGTACGTTAAACCGCCAAGAGAAGACACACTAGTTGGACCTCATACATCGGTATGAACTAACTCTAGCTTCTGAGTTTTAGGTGACCTTCCACCCTTCTGGAAACTAATTCTCTTCTACTTTCCAAAGGTACAGTCCTCGTAAACACCGACTTTCACGGAATCGATGCCGGTTAGCTTTCCCTATGAATGTAGAATCTTCATCCCCTTCTCGCTCATGTGTCCTAATCTATTGTGCCACAGATCTGTACTCTCTTTGCTAGCTACAATTGCGAGGGTGTCACTCGCATGTGAGGTGAGGTAGAGAGTTCCTATTTTGTTATCTCAGGCAACAATCATAGTACCGTTTGAGATATTCCACGAATCCTCGGTGAATGTCGAAACATAAGCTTCTTCTACAAGCTAACCAACCGAAATAAGTTTCCTCTTCAGCTTCGGTACGTGCCTTAATTTTTTTAGATTCTACTTAGAGCCCTTCAACTGTATTTTCACATCTCCTCTTCTAACAACACTACAGGGTTCATTATCCCCCAAATATACTTTTCCAAAATTCCCTGCTACATAGTTATGAAGAAACTTCCTATTAGCAGTAGCGTGGAACGAGGCTCCTCAGTCAATGACCTAAGAATCAGAATCGCTATCTATAGTGAGGATTAATGCATCCTGTATGAGATGAGCCTTCTGCTCATTCGCGTCCTTCTTTTGTGCTTTACATGCTGAAGACATATGACCCTCCTGACCGTAGTTCTAACATTTTTATTTGATAGGCCTAACTTTCGAGTTCAACCTCTTCTTGGTTGATTTCGACCGATTACTGTTTTGATTACCCTTCTTCTGGCTTCTACCTCTCTGCTCGAGATTTAAGACTGAATCTGAACCTTCTGATTCAGACGATTTCCTTTTAACCTCTTCGGATAGAATCATGCTAACAACCTCGTTTAGTTTCAACTTATCCTCTCCCGCCGAATTACTGATTGTAGTCACACAACCTGCCCAACTATCCGGCAACTATGATAGAATCAATAGGGCCTGTATTTCATCATCGAATATGATGTCTACGGAGATGAGTTGATCAACAATCGTGTTGAACTCGCTAAGGTGTATTATGGAGTGTCCTTCTGCCATCATAAGATTAAAGAGTGTCTTGACGAGATGCACCTTATTTGCGACAGACGGTTGCTCGTACATCTTCGCGAGCGCTTCCATAAGCCACACCATCGTCTTCTCCTTCAATATATTGTGTGTGTTTCCGTCGAAAGTTACCTTAGTCATTGATTTCATTAAACTTGAAACGTTACAAATAAATTCAAATGACAAAAGAATAAAAGATTATAACTTTCTTGAAAATAAACACAAGATCCGTTTATCGGCTTTTGCTTGCGTGGGTTCTTTGCCGGTGTCGGGGTTAATCCGTGGACGACCGCGAATCAGATCCGGTTGATGGAAAATTGGGCAGAGCTTCTACCTCACCAAGGGGGTATTTGCTTGAAGTCCTGAAATCGACAAAGCGAAGTCAGGGCTCTTCTCGAGATTAAGACAAAGCCTAATCTCAAGGAACGGACGTACGGGCTTCAGATCCTTCGAACGGCTTCTCCTTTGCTCCGAAGTTCGCCGGGATCTCGTTGACCTTTGCTGAAATTTCGTGCTCCTTCACTCTTCAATCCGGCAGCATCTCGTCCTCTTGATAAAATTCCAGATCTCGAAAATGGAGGCCTTTGGCTCATATTTATAGGCCTAGAATGCGGTTATTTGGATGAGAACAAGGGATTTGGCTCTATCTTCAGTCAATAACAGCCTAACCACGTTTGGGGATGATCTCAAGTCAGTTAAGAACCCCTGGAACCGATAAAACCTGCAAAAAACCAATTTAAAACTGTCAAAACGTGTTTTGAGACCTTCCTGCGTGGTAGGACGATCCGACCCGCGCTTGCGCGGGTCGGAATCATCCGACCCGCGCTTGCGCGGGTCGGATTGGTCCGTCTCGCGCTTGCGCGGGTCGGATCATTCCGTCCTGCGCTCAGCGCGGGTTCGCCGACTTTTTTCCCTTTTTTTGGTTTCTTTCTTCCGGGACTTGTTCTTGTCGCGTATTCGATAGATTTGTTGATTTGTATGCTCCGTCACGAGACCAATCGTTGAAAGCGCGTTGATTAATGTACGCGTGCTGATTGACGTGCGCGCGTTGACCGGCGCGCACGAGGTGGTTTGACGTGTGCGCGTTGACTGGCGCGCACGAGGTGATTGACGTGCGTGCGTTGACCGGCGCACGAGTTTGTTGATGTGTGCTCGTTGACCAGCGCACACGAGTTGGTTGACGTGTACACGTTGACCGGTGCGCACGAGTCGGTGGACGAGAACACGTTGACCGACACACACGAGATTATTTGACGTACGCGCGTTGACCGATGCACACGGGATGATTTGACGTACGC